TCCTTCTAGGCCATGCAAACCTGTCTTTCAGTGTTCCCCTATCTATCTTGTTCTTCCACCTCTTCCCCCCTTCTTGTATTGCCTTTCCCACACCCAAACTAGATACCAAAAGAAAAGAATGTCCACACCTTTATCTCCATGGTTCTGTCAGGCATCCGTGGCTGCTCTGATCCTTCCCCTGCTTGGTCTCATCCAAGATGGCGGCTCCTGGAACAGCTGAACGTCTTGAATTAGAAAGCAATGGATTTCTTGCTTCTGCTATAAATTCCCCTAGCTGTAAGCCTTCCAGCCTGTTAAATATTCCTTTATATGTGGTTCAGAGTTCTGGGACCATCCCCTGAGCCGGCTTGGTCCTGTATTCTGTGTTGTTGCTGACGGAGCTCCTTACTGCACTTCCACCCAATCCACCATCTTGTTTGTTCTCCCTGAGTCATTCTTGATGAGCTAAAATTGTCTGTTTTCTCTAAGACATTAGTGTTGTCTCTAGTGATAATGTGTTGATGTATTCTTAGGCTCTCACCATTTCCTGTGAGTGTTGTTAGAGAATACAAGTGTGTACACTGTTGTTGTTTGTTGTTCATGCACCTCAGTGTAGGGTATGTTTGCCTGGAGTTGGCTGCTATTTATCATTGATCTGGTGGTATAGGAGCTGGTACTGGCTAGTCCAGTCCAGTAGGGGGAGCTGCACAGAGTACCGTTGTGGCTGGGCTCTATGGGTATAGTTGCTGTCTCCTGTCAGGTGGGAAAGAGAAAACCCCTCCACCCCCAACACACAAGAAAACAAGATAAGTAAACAAGGAACCAACAAAGAAAAGAGACAAAAAGAAATAAAAACAAACAGCAACCAAAAAAAAAAAGGAAAAGGGAAATGGAGATATAGAAGATAAATGAGAGAAAATAAAAACAATTATGAAAAAGAAAAGAGCTGCAAGAAAATGGAGCTAGACAAGAAAACATAGAGGAAATGAGAGGAAGAAAATTTGTTTAATTTAGAAAAACCAAGGAGAGGGGAAATGAGAAGCAAAAGAGTAGCAAGTAGTAAAGAACAATAAAAAGGGGGAAAAAGGGAAATGAGAAACAGAAGAAATGGAAAACTAAAAGTAGAGATAGGATAAAATTCAAGGGGATGGAAAGAGAAGGAGGAGCAAGAATAGACAAAAACAACAAGAGGAAAAAACCAAACCCTCAAACAAAAACAAAAATAGAGTGCAACTGTTGGAGCCAGAGAGGAGAAAACTTGGAGGGCTTCTGAAAACTGTTCATGAGGTGGGTGTGTGTGTGGGGGGGATATGATAGCAGAGATTCTGGCCCTAGATGATGTTCCTATTGGCCTTGGTGTTATCTATGTTCAGGGCACTCCATCCAGAAGTAATTTGTGGAGGGAGGCCCTTGATGGAGCTGGTTTCAGGTCTGTTAGGACCACAGAGTAACTGGGGGTAGAATGGTTAAAATTTCAACCTTGGGGAACCTTTCTTCTGCCAAAATTTATAATGTGGGTGGTGGTGGTGGAGGGAGGGGAAAATTACAACTGTCTGATTAAGGAATTAAGTTTCTCAAGGTGTGATAATGTGGTTAGGTAAGAGGGCAGTTAACCTTATCTCTACAGATACAGCAATATGACAGGAAATACGACTAAAATTTCCTTTTAAATGATCAATAATGAGGAAAGACAATCTGTGGGGATATGTTTTCAAGTACTGACGAGTCGGTTCCAACTCATTGTGACTCTATAGATTTCTGAGGAGCAGCTGGTAGGTTTGAACCACTGACCTTGCAGTTCAAACCAAGCTTGCAGTTCAGTGCTTATCCTATAATGCCACAGATGTGTAACTATTGAAGCTGATACGTACATGGGGATCCATTAGACTCTTCTCTCTAGTTTCCTATGAGAAAATATTAAAAGATAAAAATCAAAAACAGGCAAAAAAGGACAGACTTGAAAACTAATGAAGTTATATGTGAGAAATAAGGAACTCTGGTGGGTTGAGCCTTGAACTGCTCACTTCTGTAAAGACTAGAGCTAGGGTTGCTCTGAGTTGTAAACAACTCTAAGGCAGTGGGTGATGTGAGAAATGTTCTGACTTATTTAAATATTTTTGTGGGTGGGGCAGTGGAGAGGTTCTGTGGACGTGTGCATGTTGCTATGATGCTGAACAAGTTTCAGTGGAGCTTCCAAAGATGGACTGAGAAGAATGGCCCAGTGATCTATTTCTGAAAATCAGCCAATGAAAACCCTATGGAGGACATCTGTAAGATCCTGTTGTGCATGGAGTGGTGCCCTCTCAATGGCAACTAATGAGAAAGTTTTTGTTAATCACCTCAGAGAAAGCTAACTTGAGCTCTTTTTCAACTTAGCCTGTTTGCACTTGTCTTTAATAACATCCTTCAGAGAAGGAGCGAAAATTTTAAAGGACCTGTGTCTTAAGAGGAACTGTGAAAGAGGAACTCAATGAGACCGACTGCAAAAATGGACTCAAACATACCAATTGTCAGATGGCACAGGCCCGGGCAGTGTTCTGTTCTACAGAAGGCCACTTGACACCTAACAACAACAGACTATTCTAAATATTTTCAAAATGCTGCAAAGCCTGCAGAAGCCAAAGCCTGTATTCTGAGGAGAAAAATTTTAAATATTTTCCACTAACAGCAATAGAAAAGTGTTAAGAATGCACCCTTATCAAAGGTGGAAAACTTGCAAGACCTGGAAAACTAAGGTGGTTCTGTCAAGTTCCGGCTCTCAGGTTTCACTGTAATATGCAGTAAAAACCATCAGCAGTGTGGTGATGTTAATAATGAAAGTGAGCACCCAAATACTGCTGGAGGTAGGGCAGGAAAATTGGAACCTAACCTAAGCACAGATATGGGGAGCTTCCAAAAGTTTATGGAAAAATTAAATGAAAAGATAGTGAAATTTTTACAGGAAGTTTTTGAAGACCTCTTGTGCAAGGCAAAATTTGGCTGCCACAGTGGGAGGCACAGAAATGTTAAGAAAATCTTACCTCTAAAGCCAAAGCATAAAGGGTCTACCTAAAGTTAAGGCAGAATTGGGACAACAAAGAACCTCACTGGCTCCATCTTGAACCCACAACCAAATAACAAGTAACAATGTGTAGACAAACCATTTTATTTCAGTTTAAAAAATTTTCCTTCCACCTCTGTGACATTTTATAGTATTAGCAAACAATTCATATTTTATACTTTTAATTGTCTATTATAGATAGAGTTTACCTCAAGTTTCATTATTGAACTTTTCATTTAATGCATACCACAGTAAATCAATGTAGTTTTTGTTTAAAATGGAGTTTATTTGCTCATTATACTGAATAGGATGCAGGCACCATCATGACAATTATATAGAAATATTCAGATCAACATAAAATAGTAATTTAGTTTTAAATGAAGGGAAATTTCTTTAAATGTTATGACAACATACTCCCAAGAAGAATCTTTTCTTCAGTTAATTATACATTTCAGTAAAATAAAGGATAATCGATTAATTGGAAGTTAGCTTGTGAATTTTCTTTAAAATAAAACTCCAACTTTATTAATCCATGCCATTTAAACACTTTAACTAAAATCTCAACTAAGTGCCAAGGAGATGATGGAATTAGTTACCTTTTTTGTTTGAACGTTTCAGAGGAAAAGTGGTTATTACAAACACAGCAGGCAAAATGATCTAGAACACAGGCTGTACTGAACTTCAGTCTAAACTGTGCTAAATGGTCATCATCAGTGTGGCACATTTTGGTCCATGATGTGGCTTCATGCCAAGACAGATCCCAATTTGTTACAGAAACACATAGATTACGGGTACTTTTTTTTGTTTTAAAATATATATATATATATATATATATACACACACACACACACACACATATATATATATACACACATATATATATATATATATATATGTTTAAAAGCCAAGTATACTTCCACATATAAAGGCAGGTTTTCCCTGGAGTAATTTACAGGAAGTAGTCAGGGGTGCGCCTGGTTACATGAGGCTCTCCACGACGAACGAGGTGCTGGGTCAAACTGAAGGCTAAAATGGGGGAAAAAAAAGAAAAAAATTTATAATGAAGGCAAAAAAAATTCAATAAACAACAGGACACTAGTAGAAAAGGTAGTTCTCAGTTATCAATTCTACAACGTTGGTTATGAATGACACTGAGCAAACACTGAATTGTTTTTTTCATCATAAAACTCCTTCACAGGGCTACTGTAGAGTATTTAAGTAGACAAAATGTCTGGTTTGGTGGCTGGTACAAGAAGTTTGTACTATCTTTATAAATAATATGTTATCAGGATCCCTGGTAGCACATGTAACAGATTACATGTTGGGTTCCTAACCGCAAGGTCTGAAGTTTGAATTCATTAGTCACTGCATGGGAAAAAGATCAGGCTTCCTGGTCCCATATTGATTTACAGCTTTGAAAACCCTATACAGAATTCCTATGAGCTGGAACCAACTAGATGGCACAAACAGCAGCAATATGGTATCCTATGGAGTCCTGGTGTGGCGCTGTAGGCTCATGTGTTGGACTGCAAGGTCAGCAGTTCAAACTCATCAAGTACTCACTGAAAACCCTGTACAGTGTCGTTATGAGTCAAAACTAACTGGACAGCACGTAACAACAACATTCAGAACAAGGAGACCTGGAGTGGTGTGGCAGGGTAAGCACTGGATTGCTAATTGCAAGGTTGGTGGTTCAATCCCACCAGTTGCTCTTCAGAAACCCTATACAGTATCACTATGAGGTGCAATAAACTTGATGGCATGAAACATACAAAACTAGCATATGCTCCATAGCACCAAACGGGAAGTCTACTTCGACTTAGCTAAAAAAGAGCACCCTTAAAAAGATTGAATATTTACTGTTTGTCTTTCTTCTCACACTGTTAAAGATGGGAGTGTACTTAGGTGCACTGTGGTGAGTGGGAAGGTAAAGGTTAGCAATCACTGATTCAATCCATTCAATTCCTTACAGAAAATTTACATTAAAAGTAATGGTAATTCATGTTGCAATGACCAATAGAAAACTTACTAAAATTTAAATTTCTTTTGATGCTTAGAGGAATCACAGTAGACTCAGAAGACCCAAATATCATTACACATTATCATTTTTAAGAAGGAAGATTTTACACTGTTCAAGATGAACTTCTTTAAGGTCTATGAGGCTGAGATATTAGATGTAAACATAATTTATACTCTGTACAGTATAGCGGTTATCATGTCTGCTTTACATGTAGAAGGTCCTGGGTTCGTGCCCCAGTTGAACCACCTGGTCGCTCCTTTGGAGTCCTGGTGTGGCAATGCATGTTAATGTGGACTTCAAAACTCGGTTTGAACCATCAGTTCAGCAGGTCAAGGTCACCAGCCGCTCCTCAGAAAGCCTACAGAGTCACTATGAGTTGGAACTGACTTGATGTCACTTAAAAACAACAACATTGAATCCTGGTGTGGCACCATAGGATAGCATTCAACTGTGAACCACAAGGTTGGCAGTTCAAACCTTCCTTGGAAACCCTGTAAAGGGCCACTATGAATCAAAATGGACTCAACAGCATTTAACAACTACAATTCAGTATACAGGTTTCCAGGTGTGACGCTGTAAGATAAGCACTGGATTGCAAGGTAAGTATGAACTGCCATGTCAGCAGCTGCTTCAAGGAAAACCTATATATAACGTCACTGGTGGTGGTGGTGGTGATATGCCATGGAGTCGGTTCCAACTCATAGCGACCCTGTATAGGGTTTTCTGAGGCTATAAATCTTTATAGGAGCAGAAAGCCTCATCTTTCTCCCATGGAACAGCTGGTAGTTTTGAACTGCTGACCTTGTGGTTCGCTGCCCAATTCTTAACCACTATGCTACCAGAGCTCCTTACAGTGTCACTAAGAGTCAGAAATGACTCCATGGCAGGATAGCATTTTAATTTTGGTATTTTTTAATAATTTATTTCAATGTATTAAAATAAGAGAGCAAAGCACCATTTTACATAAAAAAAAAAGTCAACCTTTCAGAAAGAGAACAGGTTCTTGGTGGGGAAAATACCACCATGTAACTCCTTATTCCATCTTCTCTTGAAATGCAGCCAACCTCATTCTGGAAAAATAAAGCTGCTGCTTTTGCTACAAATGCAATGTCTTTTAAACCTTTTATATTTGAGTATAAATGCTACTTATACTGTTATAAATGTTAGACGCCTAATGCAGTAGAGGTACAAATCGACTTCAGGAATATTTAGTTAATAAAAGCATGTTACTTATGAATAAAACTGAATGAATGAATTCTTCTTAAACCAGTCTGGCAAAACAAGAAACTTCCATAGTTGAACAAGAAACTTCCATAGTGAAGAAAAACTATAATTTAGTTTATGTACGTCAAATGTATATGCAATCCAATAACATATTCAAAACCAACAATGTTATTTTGTTTGCAAATGATAGATAGAGAAGATAAGGCATCAAACATTTAAAGCAATTTGGATTTCCTCCAGCCCCCGCCAAAAGACAATAGCCACTATTCTTTAAATATTATTATATCTGTTAAACTTAAGCAAAAATAGTAACATTACCATGATTTATTTACTTTGGAAGAAAATAGTGTTCTAATAATTGCATTAAACAGATAATTAGGAATAAAAATTAACTGACACAAATATCTATATTTAGATATTTAACAAAATTCCAATTTGAGTTTTAAAAATAACTTCTTATACATCATGTATTCTAAACAGTTTTCCATTCTGGTCTTTCTCTATTCTCTTTTCATCTTCGCTTTTCCTGGTTTTATTAAGTTTAAAATATTTTTTTTTTTCTTTTCTCTTCCATAGTTCTATTTTTCTGTCCTTCTTTTATACTTATTCTCAACTGCTTTTTAAATTCCTTCCGTTTATTTTCTCTTACTTTTCTATAGCTCCATTTCCATGTCCCTCTTGTTTTTATAAGTTATATTCCTTTTCTTCTGCCTGTTATTTCATTTTTATTATTTTCTACTTTCATGGTTGGTTACTTGTTTATTTTGTGTGTGTGTGTGTGTTTGCGTATGAGTGGTTTTCACTTTCCCATCCAATAGGAGACACCAACCATGCCCATATATCCCAGTCACACTGCACTCTGCAACTTCACCTACTGGGCAAGAGCCAAGACAGTTCTTTTATCACCTGATCAACGACAGAGAGCAGTCTATAACAGCCAAACACACTCTAAAAAGGGAGGTAGGAGAACAACGAACATGTAGGAAAATACACATGCTTTCATTCTCTGACTAATCCCACAGAAAACAGTTGGTGAGAGCCTAAGAACACATTAATTATACAATCATCAACATAAATAAATATAACAGGACAACCCCACAATGCCCCGGAGACAATTTTAGATCACACGAAGAAAACAAGAAGATGGCTCAAACAAATTACCAAGATGCATAGCCAGAAAAAGTTTCTAAGGAAGAAAAGGTAATGGAACTAATGGAAAAATAATTTAAAAGAATGGTATTTGGGTACCTTCAAAGGATTGATAGCAACATCAAGAACAGCACAATAAATTTACAAGAAGAAGCTTATAAAAAAAGATTACAGCAAGACAATACTATAAGCCATTCTATTTTATTACGTGGGGTCATCATGAGTTGGAATTGACTCGGGAGCACGTAATAGTAATAACAACAAATTGCCTGGTAACATAATCAAAGAAAAAGAAAAAGAATCCGGAAGACTGAAAAATGGTCAAAACCAAACATTTTAAAAGACAGAGCTGGAATGTGAATCCTTACTACCAAGGTGATCTTGAGATTTAAACTGCTTAACCTAATTTCTTTTTATTACAAAAACACCAGCTGCCAACAAATGCTATTTTATAGCAAAACCAATGAATTACTTCTTTAATTCTTACTACACATGGGAAGAAAGTGATTTGTGCTTTTTACTTTCAGGTAAATCTATTTCTCCATAAAAAATCTTTATTGAGATATAACTCACATACACACATCATGTGGCACTGTAGGATAAGCACTGGGCCACAAGATTGCTTAGAACGACAAGGTCGGCGTTCAAACTCACCAGCCACTCTTTTGGAAACCCTTTACAAGGTTGCTATGAGTTGGAACCAATTCCACAGCACTTAGTAACATTTAGTTTACAATGTAATGGTTTATGGCACGTGCAGAATTGGGTATCTGTTGTTGTTAGTTGCTGCTGAGTCAATCCTGACTCAGCGACCTTAAGTACAACAGAATGAAACACTGCCTGGTCCTGTGCCATCCTCACAATCATTGTTGTGATTGGGCCCATTGCTGCTGCCACTATGCCAATCCAGCTCACTGGGTGGTCTCCCTCTTTTTCACTAACACTCCAATTACCAAGCATAATGACCTTCTCCCAGCATTGGTTCCTCCTGATAATATGTTTGAATTACGAGAGATAAAGGTCTTGCCATCCTAATTTTTTTTAATCTTGAGACTATCTTTATTCACCTGTAGTTTTGTTGCAAAGGGAAAGGTGAGAAAATGTTTTCAGCACTGACTGTTACTGTCCTTAGGTGTCCTTGAGTCAATTCTGACTCAGAATACCCCAGGTATGCCAGAACAAAATACTGATCATGCTCCATCCTCACAACTGCTGTTATGTTTGGACTCATTGTTGCAACAACAGTGTCAATCCACTTTGCTGAGGGTCTTTCTCACTTTCACAGACTCTCTACTCTACTAAGCAGTATTTCCCATTCCAGAAACTAGTCGCTCATGCTAACGTGGTCAAAGAACATGGGACGAAGTGTCCCCATTTTAGCTTCTGAGAAGGACTCTGGCTGTACTTTCTCTAAGACAAATGTGTTCATTCCTGACCGTTCATGGTGTATTCAAAATATTTTGAGACTACCATAATTTGAGCTCTGGTAACGTAGTGGTTACGAATCGGGCTGCGAACCTTAAGGTCAGCGGTTCGAAACTACCAGCTGCTCCGTGGGAGAAAGATGAGGCTTTCTACTCCTGTAAAGATTTACACCCTCGGAAACCCTATACAGGGTCGCTATGGGTCGGAA